AGAGTTGCTCTGCCCCGGGCTTCCTGGAATCAGCTGCTGATCAGTTTCAGCAGCAGCTGACTTGGGGACGCCTGGGGTTCTTAAGTTGATTCTGTATATAAGTCAGAACTGGCAGTCAGTTTCAGCAGCCGCTGAATCTGGACGCCAGTTGCGACTTACATACAGATTCAACTTAAGAACAAACCTACAGTCCCTATCTTGTACGTAACCCGGGGACTGCCTGTATATAATTTTATCCTTGCAAAGGGACTTGTATAGGTCTACAGGTTGTCTCGATGCTAGTATTTTGCAGATCATCTCTATGGCTGATAACAGTAAATAACAATACAAGGACATTTTTCTTTTTCTTTTTTTTTTAAAGGGCGGTATTTGTGTTAGTTACTAAATACGCTATGTTAAGGGAAATGTAGGTTGGTGACTGTAACGCTGCCTGTGTAGTGTTAGGGAGAGATGAATGTTGATGGTATGACAAAAAGAGGCATGTGAGAATAACCCGAAGGAGAAAATTAATGAAAAAGGAAACTACAGTAAAACCTACGCTATCTGGAACTTAAGCATCTGGAAGCCAGCAAATTTCTGTTGCTGGGAAGGGGTGAATAGCAGCCAGAAGCAAGCAGGAAGCATCCCCCCCATGGCTCCTCCGCCCTCTGTCAGGCTGCCCCCGCCATCTCTGCCTCCCATTCCCTGGTTTCCATCCCCCCCTCCACAGGCTGCATCCTGCCCCTGCCCTGTGTGTCTCCCGCTCCACCCGCCCCTTTAGAACCAGAATTTTGAGGTTACCGGCACTCCCTAATCCCCAGGCATGCTGGATAATACAGGTTTTACTGTAAATAAACAGTGTATGAGTATCTTAATAACTGAAATAAAATCACCTCACAACCTATAGTGTCGATTTAAGCAGTTTGGAATTCATAACTTTGGTGATCGTAAGTTACTACTAGTCCAGTAGTCATGATTCTTATAGGATTAGTGTTTTTCAAGCTTATAGTATTACTGTTCCTTTTTTCCTGTGTCCAAGTTTGGGGGGCGGGGGGGATGGGTTATAGCCACACAATCTTGATTTGAACAGCTGTCTTGAACTGTCTTATTTTGCTAATTATTGCTGTCTATAAGTCATTTACTCTTTATTACTTGGACAGACAGCCAAATAGGTACGGTGGAGCAGTATGTAAATCTACTGGGTGAAATCTTGATCCCATTGAAAACAATGTGAAAACTCTGTTGGTTTGTACTGGGACCATTGTGGGTATTTCATTAATTGTGGTTTTACAGATTAGAGAATAATTTGCTCTTGGCTAATTTTCAAAGGCCAGATGTCATAGAGACCCAGGAGAACTAATTACAGAGGACAGGAAAGCTCATTTGCTGATCTCTAAACTGACAAGGGGTTTTGTGCCTTTTTTTTGGTTATCACAAAGTAATGTTTCCTGGACAATACAGGCAGTCCCCGGGTTAAATGGATCCGACTTATATCGGATCCCTACTTACAAACTGGGTGAGGCAACCCCGCACTAGCTGCTTCCCCCCAGCAGACCAGGGAGATGCGGAGTGGCTTTTCTCAGCAGACACCTCAGCTTGAGAATAAAGGACTGAGGGAAGTGAGGTGTGGGAGAATAAAACTGAGCTCTGGAGAAATGTTTGGCTAGAGTTTCCCCTACAATATGTGCCAGTTCCGACTTACATACAAATTCAACTTAAGAACAAACCTACAGTCCCTATCTTGTACTTAACCTGGGGACTGCCTGTATATAATTTCAGAAGTTTGTGCAATTTAAAAGTGTTACTATTTACATTAGTAAATTAGTAAATTACTGTCAATTTACTAAATTTCATTAGTAAATTAGTAAATTATTGTCAATTTAATAATCTGCAAGCCCAGAAGTGTTACATGATATTTTACAGATAACGATTTTGAGAATAATTTAGATATTTTTTAAAAAATGTGAACCGGTAATGTCTTGGGACAAACGCATAAAAATGGAATGGTTTGAATGAAAAACAGTAATTTGAATTGTTTTTGTTTTTTAGTACAATGTACACATTCTATAATAAAAATAATCAGTTTCAACAATTTTACACTATAAATATTATTTTGTACTTTATAAATACATACTTTCACCTTCTGTTGCATTTCATATTTAAATATAATGCTAATTATTCTCCTTTTGCTTTTTCTAGCTAATTCCAGTCTTCTTGGAGGTGGAGGGGGTAAGTCTTTGTTTAACATTCTCCTTGCTCTCAAAAATACTATGTATGCTCTGATCAAAACTGAGATTTGGGAATAACCACAATTAACACAGAGCATCTTGTTTATGTACAATAAATTATAAGTGTACAACCATCTGAATAAATAGAAAATTAGACGAGCTTTTTATCCTTTACACAGAAGTGGCAGGTTGTAAGTATTCCTTTCAGATATGGAACTTGTAGCTGTCATCCATTCCATTGTCACCTCAGGATTAGATTATTGTGCTGTCTTCTATTTGGGCCATACCTTAGAGCCATTCAAAAACCAAAGTTGGGTTATCTTAAGTTGCATTGCTACCATTATGATGCATCTTCAAGTTGTTTTGTGGGCCTTTATGGCCCATGGATAATTCAATGATTCAATGATAATTCAATGATTTAGAAAAGAAAATTGTTCATACATTTTTATCTCAGATTTTCACCCCTTATCTTTGAGAGAGTGGGTGATATAGATCTCAGATTTTCACCCCTTATCTTTGAGAGTGGATGATATACAGTAGAATAGGACTTTATTTATAATATTTTCTTTTTGTTTTACTTTGGTGTGAACTCTTAAAGTTTTGATTAAATAAGGCACAAGCTTGTATACTGCATGGTGGTGTTGCTTATAATATTGTTCAGAAACATAATACTTTCCCCTTTTAATAAACATTAGTTTGCTTTTCATGTGTTATAATACTGTAGCCCTGAGCTTACAAGAGATGAAAATTTTCTGGCTAGGATTAAAAGGTCCTGATGATTACAGTCTACATACACAATTGGAAAAGAAAGGATTCAGTAAGAAGATTGCTGTTGCTTTTGAGATTCGGAATGATAAACCAAAGCTTTGTTTTAACAACCTTAACAGCATAAGCAACTGTTATTCCTGAACCATGAAGAGAGGATTCTCCTTTGAAAACAGTACTTCAAAACTACATTGGAGAAGAAGTTAAACATGAATAGATTTTTAGTCCAAATTTTACTATATTCTCTCAAGTATTTATTCCCATTTGACATCTTAAAACCAAAGCAAGTGCTCAAAGTCCAATCAAATTTCTAGAGAATTGGCTATTGGAGACAAGTTTTAGTTACCAACTCTCAGGCAGTATTTATTCAGCTGCTGGGCTGTACTTCAGAAGTTGATATCCTATTACTGTGGCACCACAGAATGTAGTTCATCCTCTTCACTCAGTCTGACAGACAGGTTGATGACTAGTTTCCAGCTGGGATTTTTCCTGCTTGGCAAAGCACCCTTCTCTGCTTTTCCAGTTCGATTTCTGCTTCTCCCCCCAGCAGACCAGGGAGACGCGGAGCGGCTTTTCTCAGCCGACACCTCAGCTTGAGAATAAAGGACTGAGGGAAGTGAGGTGTGGGAGAATAAAACTGAGCTCTGGAGAAATGTTTGGCTAGAGTTTCCCCTACAATATGTGCCAGTTCCGACTTACATACAAATTCAACTTAAGAACAAACCTACAGTCCCTATCTTGTACTTAACCTGGGGACTGCCTGTATATAATTTCAGAAGTTTGTGCAATTTAAAAGTGTTACTATTTACATTAGTAAATTAGTAAATTACTGTCAATTTACTAAATTTCATTAGTAAATTAGTAAATTATTGTCAATTTAATAATCTGCAAGCCCAGAAGTGTTACATGATATTTTACAGATAACGATTTTGAGAATAATTTAGATATTTTTTAAAAAATGTGAACCGGTAATGTCTTGGGACAAACGCATAAAAATGGAATGGTTTGAATGAAAAACAGTAATTTGAATTGTTTTTGTTTTTTAGTACAATGTACACATTCTATAATAAAAATAATCAGTTTCAACAATTTTACACTATAAATATTATTTTGTACTTTATAAATACATACTTTCACCTTCTGTTGCATTTCATATTTAAATATAATGCTAATTATTCTCCTTTTGCTTTTTCTAGCTAATTCCAGTCTTCTTGGAGGTGGAGGGGGTAAGTCTTTGTTTAACATTCTCCTTGCTCTCAAAAATACTATGTATGCTCTGATCAAAACTGAGATTTGGGAATAACCACAATTAACACAGAGCATCTTGTTTATGTACAATAAATTATAAGTGTACAACCATCTGAATAAATAGAAAATTAGACAAGCTTTTTATCCTTTACACAGAAGTGGCAGGTTGTAAGTATTCCTTTCAGATATGGAACTTGTAGCTGTCATCCATTCCATTGTCACCTCAGGATTAGATTATTGTGCTGTCTTCTATTTGGGCCATACCTTAGAGCCATTCAAAAACCAAAGTTGGGTTATCTTAAGTTGCATTGCTACCATTATGATGCATCTTCAAGTTGTTTTGTGGGCCTTTATGGCCCATGGATAATTCAATGATTCAATGATAATTCAATGATTTAGAAAAGAAAATTGTTCATACATTTTTATCTCAGATTTTCACCCCTTATCTTTGAGAGAGTGGGTGATATAGTAGAATAGGACTTTATTTATAATATTTTCTTTTTGTTTTACTTTGGTGTGAACTCTTAAAGTTTTGATTAAATAAGGCACAAGCTTGTATACTGCATGGTGGTGTTGCTTATAATATTGTTCAGAAACATAATACTTTCCCCTTTTATTAAACATTAGTTTGCTTTTCATGTGTTATAATACTGTAGCCCTGAGCTTACAAGAGATGAAAATTTTCTGGCTAGGATTAAAAGGTCCTGATGATTACAGTCTACATACACAATTGGAAAAGAAAGGATTCAGTAAGAAGATTGCTGTTGCTTTTGAGATTCGGAATGATAAACCAAAGCTTTGTTTTAACAACCTTAACAGCATAAGCAACTGTTATTCCTGAACCATGAAGAGAGGATTCTCCTTTGAAAACAGTACTTCAAAACTACATTGGAGAAGAAGTTAAACATGAATAGATTTTTAGTCCAAATTTTACTATATTCTCTCAAGTATTTATTCCCATTTGACATCTTAAAACCAAAGCAAGTGCTCAAAGTCCAATCAAATTTCTAGAGAATTGGCTATTGGAGACAAGTTTTAGTTACCAACTCTCAGGCAGTATTTATTCAGCTGCTGGGCTGTACTTCAGAAGTTGATATCCTATTACTGTGGCACCACAGAATGTAGTTCATCCTCTTCACTCAGTCTGACAGACAGGTTGATGACTAGTTTCCAGCTGGGATTTTTCCTGCTTGGCAAAGCACCCTTCTCTGCTTTTCCAGTTCGATTTCTGCTTCTCTCCAAGCTACACTCGGAAAGTCGACCTTTGCTACCACATGTTGATGCCAGAAGGGCTGAGAAACAAAAATGGCATCAACATGTGGTAGCAAAGGTTGACTTTCTGAGAGTAGCTTTGAGACAGGCAGAAATTGAACCGGAAAAGCAGAGAAGGTGCTCTGAAAAGCGGGAATCATCTTTCAAAAATACTGTGAATCAAGGAGTTTTCCTGGTACTGGTGAACCTGAGGACATTCAAGAACTCATCATCACTTACTCTCTCTAAAAACATTAAGGCTTGTGCTGAGCTGATGGTCTTTCTAATCAGCTCTTATCCATTCAGCCTGGAATCTGACTAGAGTGTTTTGGTAAAGATCATGTTGGCCACTCAGTGACTCTATCAAATGAGTTTCCTTTTTCTAACTAACTGATTTAATTGGTCACTCTCAGGACTGGGCCACTCAAGTGGTACTGGAGCTACTAGCTTTGTTCAGTTCACTAGGTCTCACAATAAGCAGATCAGCAGCATACTGGCTCCAGACTTCTCTTTATCCTACCAGAATATACACGGCCTTGGACAACAGTCTCTCTGGGTGGGGAGTAAACATAGATCCCTGCCGAACACAGGGAATAGAGTTTCCAATAGAAAGAGAGTTTCCCATAAAGATGTTTGAGCTGTAGGCGACAAAGTGAACAGCCTTCATGCTCGAGTAACACTGAGACCACTGAGAAAGGGAGAGTGAAATTGGGTCTTACAGTTTTAGCTAAAAGCCAGCTGGTAGAGGCACATGGCTTTAGCCCTTAAAGTTGCAGGTTCAGTCCCACCTTCCAACAATCAGAGTCTGTGAGCTCTACACTCAGAAGAGAAAATTGAGAATGAGAAATGCTAAAATGAGAAAATTGTGTCCTCAAAAGTTCAGTGCATGACAGTGGTCATATACCTGAACCACTGAGCTAGCAGAATAATATTCCCAGCTTGCTCCTTTTGATTTCCTAGGTACAGGCAGAACTCCAAATTTCTCCCAGCAAAGCTGGGCAATAAGGGGAAAGTCCTTTCTGTAGATCTGCTTTCAGTGAAATTCAGTTCCAAGGGCTCTCTCTTACATGTGACTTTTTACAGCACTATGAAAATGCCTTTCATCTAAAAAAATGTGTTTTCTAAAATCTAGATATGTTTTCTAAAACCTTTCTAGCACTGAACTCATAATAATTGGAATAGATTTGTGTGAAGAACCCTGGTGTCATTTTCCTGAACTTTCTAATCAGTTATTTTGGAGAAGACTTAATGGACCAACTTCTTGGTAAACATATTAGCAAGTTTGTCCTTTGGTTCAGCTGACAGTGGTTTTACTAGGTGCCAGCTATTTTTTGTGCCATATGATATAACTATTTTTTTTCATCTGATCAGAGTATCTAAGTATAATTGGGTTTCTTAGAGCCAAACTGATGATGATTCTTAGATTTCATTTTTACATCTCCATGTATATTTTTACGACTGAATGAAGAGAGAGATGAAAGATGCCAGCTATAGTTATTTAGATGACTATTTTTAGCCAAGAAACTTTCATTATTCTTTCAATGGCAGACTTCTATATTTAACTAAAGATTCTTTTTAGACTTCTTTCTGCTTATCAAATAACTCCAAAAAGTTTCCTGGACTTCATTAAGAGTCTTATGAGTAATCTTTTCTTTCTCTTAAAATGAAATTTGGATTTTATGAAGAGCCAGGCCAATTGACATGTTTTATTTCATTTTTCACATTATTTCAGGTCCA